CTCAAAAACAAAGAATTGAGACGGAAAAATTTAGCAGATATTACTAAAATAATTTCTGCTAAAAACAATAAAACAATTTCCAAAAGAACTATTCGACGTGCACTTCATGAGGAAAATGTGTCTTCTTGTATTCCTTGAAAAAAACCTTTAATTTCAGCAATTAACAAGACTAAAAGGCTTGCATAAGCAATGGAAAAAAAGATTGGACTATTGAAAACTGGAAAAAAATAGTCTAAACAGACGAGTCCACTTTTTCTCAATTTCACAAATCTGGATGGGGATAAGTGTGGTGAGAACCAGGAGAGGAATTTTATGAAGATTATGTTGCATTGATAGTAAAAAATTCTTTTCAAAGGATATTTTGAGCATGTTTTTCCTTTTTAAAGTTAGGACCCATTATATCACTTAAAGGTTCAGTTACTGAAGAAGTTTACAAAGGTATTCTTGCCACTTATGTGGTTCTAACGCTCAAGTAATTTTTTCGAAAAACAAAAAAAAAATTTATTTTTAGGAAGACAATGCGTCAGTTCACACTTCGAAGATTGCATGAGAGTTTTTGCTTTCTCAAAAGGTAGATTTACTTCTATGGCTGCTCAAAGTTCTGATTTTAACTCAATTGAGAATATGTGGTCTATAGTTGAGATAGAGATTCAAAAATTCAATCCTCAACCTTCAAGCATTCCTGAGCTTGAAAAGGTGGTAAAAGAAGCGTAGGATGCGATATCGCAAAAAGAGTACCGAAACTTGATGCGATCAATGCCAAATATAATTCAGGCAGTGATTGCTGCTAATGGAGGACATACTAAATATTAATGTTAGTTTTCGAAAAATAAAAAAAATTGTATGTTTCTGTAAAAAAATAAAAAATTATTGAAAAAATAAAAGCGTGCAATACTTTTGTTTCCCTGGTAGCTTAAAAGCTGTTTAAGTATAATAGGTTTGTGTAATTTGTCAAATTTGAATAATTAAGTTTTGATGTAGTTAGTTAATTCGGAATGACCGTAATTCTAAAGACCAAAGACCGTGATTTCTCAGTTGATTCTGAAAGCAATACTGAATCTATTTTTGAAACTGGCAACAGTCAGTTGAATATTTTATCTCATATATACTCACCTGAAAAGGTATAAGAATATCTTAAAGAATTTGGTTTCAGTCAAAATGATATGGCAAAGTGGGATCAGCCTGTTGAAGTTTCTATTGGTGTTAATACAAGTTTCTTTATAGCTCGAGAAGCTGTTATTTATGGTCTGAGATGTGATAATGTTTATCTTTACCCAGAATTAGCTGCAGACACCAAAGTGAAATCCCCAATTTTGTAACAAATAAATTTCAATCAATCAATATATCTGAGTTTATAAATGGAGTCCCCTATCACTCATTTCCTGAAAATGTAATGGTATTTAAGTGGAAATTTAAAAAGGGGAACTTTGATGAAATTATTATCCTTTTAGAAAAGAAAAAAATTAATATCCATACCCTACTTTTTCGTGGTAAACGTGATTTTGGGAAAATTACGAGGATTGTACTGTACACTACCCCGAGTATTAATTATGCCCTCATACATATAAGAGATTATGGAAGTAGCAGAGTTAGTGCACTTCTGATTTTCGATTGGAGTGATTCTGGAGGGGATATAAAAATCAAGCATATAAAAGGGGATGAATGGAAGTCATTGTAAAGGGGTACATTTGCATTCGAAATTCTGCAAAACAAGGACCACCTCAATTTAAAGAAGATATTTTCTCTGGAACAATCACTGAAAATAACAATGATATTAGAACTTGTAGCGAACCAGTCGCTAGGAAAGACCCAGAAAGGAATTAGAGCCCTTGAAAACCAGATAATAGATATAATTTATATTAGTAGTACCAGCCGTTGAAGTCAGAGTCGACGGCTGAGTCGACTCTGCAAAAAATCATTTAGAGTCGACTTCGGAATTTTCAATGACTGAGTCGCTGTTCCAAATTTGATATAAGGTCATTTTTTGCAACATTAATTAAATTTTAAAAATTTTTGATAAATATTAAGATATCAATAATACAATTATGGTCGCTAATTTCAATCGACTCAGTCGAACGGCTGAGTGAACTGAAAAGTCTCTAACGGTTGACTGAGTCGACTCCAGAATTTGTCACGACTGGTACTACTAATTTATATATACCCGTGACTAATATTCCTGATGCAGTAGACAGTCAATGAACTTCGTGGTTTTGTAGGCGTTTACTTTATTGTACTTATTTTTAGATCCTTTAAAACATGTAACCGTGTGTCACCGGTCACGCACGTAAAATAATAAAATCCATATGATTATTCTATATAACCGCAGTCTTCTCATCAGAATCTATTAATAATAAAAACATTTCGCATATTTTTTATTACGCAACATGAATTACCCGAGCAATGTAGTCAAATATTTTTCTCGTGGCAATTGGTAACAATCTTTTAGACCGGACACCAATTTTTTATTGCTTGAGTGTTAATACAGGGTAATTTAGGAAATCTGGATCGGCAAATTATTAGGCAATAAGATTGCTAGCGATTATTGTAAAAGGACCTCTTGAAGATCTTTATATATGGATAGCGTTAAATTCCTTTATTGTTAAATTAAGGAGAGTCCGTTGATCAGATTTTCGTGATGTAATCAATATTCCCCAAAAGTGTATAACAAAATCGATCCTGTGAATTATATAAAAAGGTGATGTCCCGGTTAGTGAATCCTTTTATCCGCCTCATGCAAGTAAGATAAAAATCTAATCAAACCAATCTAACTTACCATTATTTGCATCATCAAATCAACAATCAAAAAGAACTCGCTTGTTCCTCAAAGTTATAATAAGGTAGGTTGGTTTATGGCTCGGCTAGCTTTTAAAAGAACATCATCATGATGTTAATCAATTTTTCCGGCTCTATAGATGCTCAAAGTCATTACCATTTTAACATATTTGATCGCCAACACGTGCCTCATCAACACAGTGAAAAAAATCACATGACTGTAATTTCAGCCGCCTGCCAAAATCTTACCTATATTGGCGGGCAGTAATTTGGCGCAGTATTCAAGCGCAGAATCGTACTTGAGTTAAAAAAATCGAAATTTCAGGCAACGAATTTCTTAAATACGAAGCGGAGTGGATTGTTGTAAAAATTAGTCGTAACGGTAAGAGTGATAATATTGCATTGCTTCTTTTTACCTCAATTGCTTGCTAATCCCCGAAATTTATATTTTAGTTTCGAAATTACTTAATCTCAGTTCTCTTTAGGGGAATATCATTTTACTTATACGACTCCGTATAACAAAGATATCTCATAATGACGCGTGATTATATATATTTACGCGAAGAATATTTGATATAAAGTTTGATGAAAGTTTGATAGAAGTTTGTGATACTTCGGACTTATAGTTTGATAAATATAAGTATAAAAATCGCTTTGTTTCGTTTCTTATTTTTTTCTCCTTGTTTTCAGTCACAAAACAACAAAACTCAATATGATAACTCCAAAGGTTTGGTTTAAACTTGTGAATCCTACAGATAACTGGGCTAAAGTTTCGTTAGAGGAAGTTGAAGGTGTGTACGATCTTAAGAAAAAAATGAAAATCGAAATGGCTCCAAAACTCGATACTTTCACTTCGTCAAGTCTCATTCTCAAAGCAACACATAATAATGACAATCCAAATGAGGCAGTAGAGCTACATGAGAAAGAGGAACTTTTTTCTGTCCTAAGGCGATTCAATATTGAGGCAACGAATGTTAAAGATTCTTTCGCAAGGAATATTCTGTTGTTCGTTATTGCTTCGCCTGGTAAGCATTTGCAACACCTTAACTTACTGAAATGACACGGGACTAACTATGCCTTTTTTGGTTTCCTAACCCAATTTAGATGAACATCAAGGTAAGCCTTTGCGTCGTAATGATTGGTCAACTCGAACGTGACGCTTATCTAAACCTTTTTTACCCATTTTACGTGCCTGTGGATTATGTAGGCAAATCTGCGAAAAAAGAAGTCATTGAATTCTGGAAAAATCTTAATAGGGCGGAAATCATTTTCCTACTAAAC